CCAAAGTGAATGCGTTGGCAATGTGTAGCACTGAAATGAGTGGTAACATTGCAATTGACTGTCTGATTATTCAACTGAGGAAATATTCTTGGAGAAGCATGTTGCACTTTGACAGCTTGTATTTCACAGAAGCTCTACACCTAGGCAAAATCTGCCACTAGGATGAAGAAATGGTTATCAGCTTTGCTATTCAGGAACACTGAAATTCCGTGTAATAGGAATAAACCTCTTCAGGGCATGAGAGAAGATCTTTCTAAGGGCTCACCCAAGGGTGTGGAATGAACTCATATAGGAATCAAGGATGATGGAAAGTAGACTAGAAAATACACAGCTATATCTTTCTTCCTGTTGCCTTTAATGCCCACAGTGAGTTACAATCATTTAAAAATGCTGATAATTATTGAATAATCTTTATAGACTACTCAGTGTTGAACATTTTTCCCAGCCCATATTAAATTTGTGGTATAATTTATGAGCTAATGTTGCAAAGAATGTTACCACCAGATTTAAGATACTGGCTCACATGGGATGTGAAAATTAGTTGTATTGGTAAAAGATCTTTTACATTTTTCTAACACATATCTTATACTTTTTGTAATGCACTCATTTGGGAATTATCCTTTGTGGGTGAATGACGATTCTGAACTAAAATCATCTCTGGTAAGATCTTTTTCACAGAAATCACATGCTTGGAAAGCATTGTGCTTTGCCTCTCAAGAGTGCACCCAGTCAAGAGTGGGACAAAATGTTGCTGCTGTTACTTCTCCCCCTCCATCCCCTCTGTTGTATTTCTGAACCTTACTTTAGCAGCACAAATAAGTATAGGTATTTTGGGAGGGTCAGCACCACAGAAATGAGTTTTATGGGCTGTTTTGCTGTTTTGGTGTGTTTGACCTGTCCAAAGTCTGCTTTTAAATACAGCAAACTCATCAAAATCACTAATGTTCTATATGGTTAAGGTGATATCTCCCAACTGCATCTCTGTGTTATTCATTGCTTGTAAAGTTTACAGGGAAAAAAAAAAAAGCAAAGTACAACACAGAGCAACATAGTAGATGAAACACTGACGTATTTTAAGGGTGCTAAAGGGTCAAGTCAGCCTGGTATAGTTCACATATTTTCTCATAGAAGTGGTAAATTATGTTTAAGCTTTATTGTTTGATATTTTTTTCCTTTAAAATAAAACTGTTCTTTTGAAAAATGCACTAGGGTGTCTGTCTGCTGTGTGTGACTAGCTGGATAAATGAGCTCTTTTTAGCATCATAATAATTTATGTTTTGGCATGTAAAATGCAGTGGTTAGTTTAAAAAAAATGAAAGCTGAAAGTAGGAGAGAAATGGGGGTATTTTAAAAAGTCTTACAGTAATTAGTGGTCTCTGTTATTTAGTGAACAGTATCTCAGTGGAATTACAGTGAATTACATACTTCTGATAATTATTATTTATTGATTCAGGCAACTTCTGCACAACCAAAAGGAAATATAAGGAAGCCAAACAATCTGAGGTTTTGCTGCCTTAGTCATTTATTGCTAAAGGAAAGAAATCACATTTTACATTTTCACCAAAAGGAAAGATTTTGCAACAACCTGACCTGTGGTATTGCTATTTAATATTTTGATTTTGGTTTTCATTCTTTTAAGTACACTTCAAAGTGCATAAAATTAAATATGTTTCATGTTGTTGCCTTTGTCAGCTACAATTTAATCACTATGCATGAGATCACTACATTTCTTGCCACAATGTGTATCGTGCATGTCCCCTAAGATTTTTAGAAAGAATCCCTTCAATTAAAATTGGCAGATTTCCAAAGACATTTTCAAATGTATGTCTTGTTTAAAAGGCGTGGTTTCTCTTCAGTCATCATTTTGACATGGAAATGAGTACAGCATTCACACAATGTTCTTGCACTAGAAACAGAGAAGTAGAGTATTGGAAGGGGCCACAATTTTTTTTCATAGATGATGAGACTCCCTAAACCTTTCCTCTCTTTTGCACTGCGCTAAGAATATATGTACACAGTTCGAGAAGGGTAAATGTACCTTGTAAGTCATTTATCATTTTTTCCACCAATCTAAAATCGTGCAAGTATTGTTACTTTTCAGGCAATAAATAATTGAAATTTTTGCCATACTTCAGGCGAAATTGATACTGAGCTTTCAGATGTATCGTGGTAGGTTCCATTAGTTCTGTTGACACTACGGGACTGAAAAGTAAGCCACACACTTCTGAGACACTATGTTTTATTAAAAGAGCTGTGTTAACTGATGGATGTGAAAGCCACAGCTATCTCTGCCAGCATATTACATTTTGGAGCTCTGGTCTCACTGAGGCAGTTCTTCTGGAAAACAGTATGAGTATTTAGTGGCGATAATGACACTGGGGCTGGTAGGTGGTCGTGGCACACGCGCCATCTCTTTCTATGGCTGACTGTGTCTGCATTAAATAACAGCATCATTACTTTCCACTTCAACTGCTAAGTGAAAAATATTTTTTCTAATTGGCACATAAGCACTAAACCCACGATAATCTCCTGTCAAGGAACTAGGAGAAGGCAGTGAGACTGATTTTTTTCTGCTTTCACAGAAATTATGTTGAACGGCAAACCATATTTGTAGAACATCACTCATGTATCAACTGTGAGATTGTGACTGTGACAAATGATGCACTGCATACACCATCTACCATAGGTAAATGTGAGAGTTCCTACTAGCTCTTTACACCCCAATTTTTCAATTTTCAGGTGTTAGGTTTCTAGCAGAGTGTGGGAGAGTCTTGTTCCTTTGACAAGCAATGTCCTTCATGCCAACACTAGGCTCATCATTTCAGCAGAAGTTTTGCAATACTTCTGCCAAATCTTAAGCACAATACTATGAATTCCTCTGTCTTCTAAATATCATGCCACTGTAATAAATGTCCAAATATAAATAAGAAGTTCAGCCAAACCAATGCAAAACTTAAAACCTCCAAATCAAACCTGTATTTCACACTGTAATTGCACACCAGTGTAACCTAGTTGTGGCTTAATAATTGAGAAAAATTCTGTGACATATCTTGCACACAATTATGCTAATTTATATGCACAACATGTTTTGTAAAAAACAAATAAGTTAGGGATTTATATTTGACAATACTTTCCAGGGTTTTAGCTTCTTTCTGGGTTATTTTTGTTTCTATATTTTCAGCAAAGCAACAAACCAAAACCAAAACAGAACAGCCCTTGGAGCAGAGAATGGAACTAGCTTCTCTGACCTCTCAAGTGAATATCCTGACTTGTAAACCAGAGAGGTGTCTTTAGGACAATTCATCTTTGTTTCTCACAGGCAGGGTGAAATAACTTCTACACAAGGGATTAAGATTTTGTAACCTTTTCCTGACAGACAAAAAAAAAAAAAAAAGTGTGAGGATGTAAAGAAAAAGGTTCTATTTTTAAAACACCTTTAGTAGGGAGTTGTATTATTACTGTAGGTTTTATTTCTGACTGTACTCAGTATTATAGATGAGTACCTTAAATCCTGTTACTACTGTTTGTGACCTGAAACTTTGGCATAAAGTATCAGCATAAAAACTGTTCAGGAAGGAGTAGAGCTGTAAGGATATTTTTGTCTCTATTTATGGCTGCCAGGATTTTTCACCTTAAAGGGGAGCATCTCCTTCCTTTCTCCTATCCTGGAATTTTCACATAAACAGGCTGCTATCCTGCTGCCTCCTCATCATTAAAAGCCTTTTCTCACCATCTTTTTTCACTAAACGAATGGCCTGAAATATTAATAATTTATTGAGCAGGGAATATATAAAATCTCCAGAGACAGAATCAGTTCTACAAGACACACAGGCTCTAGGTTTGTCACAGAAATGATGCATTTTGTGATTTTAACAAGGGAAAAAAAGTGATTTTTTTTTAAACTCCTTTTAAACATTAAGCAGGCTTCAAGTTTCTAGTGAAATTGCTTCCACTCTAGTTCCAGAGGAAACTTTGAGACATGCCCTATTACATCGAGGCACAATCTGAAGCCAATAGCAAGACCCTCTCAAGGGTTAATGGTTTTTATCTATCTCATATGTTTTAGGAACGGGGCAAAGAAGAAGGCAGAGTCGCTAAGTTTATGTGGTATGGGGCTGAGGTACCTGACACAATAGTCCTGATCATGCTGATTTTCCTGGTGATACTGGCTATAAGGAGACCAGCTTCCAAGACTAATGCTGATGGGACACTAAGAAGGGTTCCAGACTAAAATCCATTGAAGCCAACTAGAAGGCATCCACAGGTTTTGATTCTGCGCTGCAGTTAATAACAACAAAAGCAACCACCTGCTTTGATATGGTGTTTTTAAAAACACCGAAGATGCCTTTATTGTGAATATATAAATGCTGATAATCTGAACTTTGTTTTTTTACTTTTACTGTTATAAACTTTGACTACATTTACATCATGCCCTCAGACTGGAGAATGCCTGTAGTGTATTTCCTAAGATATGGCAGAAAAAACTAGTTAACATGCAAAACATTACAAAGTAGAATGGCACAATGCAAATGCTTGAAGAATTTAAACGGAAATGTCTGCTTTGTTCTGATCCCTTAAGCCCCTGGCACTTTCTAACAGGTGGCAGTATAAGAATATATCTAGCACTGCTCTTTGTTCCTGCATTAACGTTGCCACTACTGTATTTTTTTCCATAATAACAGTCAGGAACATTTTACACGTGAACGACAATAAGGAGAAAATGGAGTATATTATTTGACTATTGTAATGGTAGGAATATACATTAATTGGACAATGTTATGCTGTACTGGAGGATCTTGAGGTGGCTGCAACAAATGGGTAATACCCATAACAGTGTGGTGAAGTGTATACACAGTGACTCACTCAGGGAGCAGAATAACAAGGGACATTAGAGTAACTGCTTTTTTGCAAATATAGTAGGATATAATTTTATAGTTCTTGAGAATCACATATACCTACAGCTGCACTGGAAGTTGTGTTCTAAAAATCTGTAAAGTCAGTATGCTAGTCTTAGAATGGTAAATTGATAAAATCATGAACTTTTATCTACAGTTAGCCTAAACTTGCAACATACCAATGTACATATTCATCTCAAACTTTTTCTTGTCTTATACACTTCACTGTGCAAATTAGTCTAAATTAAGTAGTTTGCCCTTTGTTGAGAATTTCTTCTACAATATTTATATTAAAAAGTTATACAACCTCATAGACCCAAACATTTGGAAGGGATCGGTATGCCTGTTGTAGAATAATGCTGGAGAATTATCTAGTTAATGGCATCTTGTAATTAATTATCTGAAATCACCTTGAAAGAACTGAATGAAATTCAGGGAAAGTAAATTCAGCATACCACATATAAATAGAAATACTTAGTGATGCACATTCATGATGGGACCCAACAGGTTGTTAAGTGATTCTTAAGAAGAAGGTGAGAGTTTTGTATTGTCATGTTGCAAAGGAGGAAATCCTCATCAGCATTTATATATATCCCATAGGATGTGTGAAAAAACTCTTTGTTTATTGGTAAGGCTTCAGCTATGTTGCAAATGAACATATATAAGAATGTATGTATGTATCAGGGAATTTGAGATTGCTTTGACTGGATTGTTGAGAAGTCTGACAAATTCAAACCAATTTTAAAACAAAACTTCACTGAACTGATATTGATTAATAATATATTTAGTGCTAACAGTTAGTTCTTTTACATTATCAGTATTTATCTCTACCTATATAAGACTGTTAGCCCTTAATACTCGTATCCTACATTAGCTGTGAGTACACAACGCCAGGGAACTCATGCTGCATATTTAGCAGTGATAGCTATGGATCTGTGTGGTTCTCAGCCTCCAGGCTTATTTGCAGAGCTTGCTCCTTTTATTCTTTGTTATCTTGCAAAATCCATTGCTTGGGTCACTGTCTACACACTTTCCAATGCCTGCTATGTGCAACTGCACAGATCTCCATTTGACAGGTCCATGGTCAAATTGCTCACACTCTTCAATCTTAACACCCACACGTTGTGTTTAGCTATGTCAGCACGATGTTACAAAATATTTAGAAAATGTTCTTGTTTACATTGGGTTAGTACCCAGACGTTTCAATTTGAGAGAAGCTAAGATTAATTCTATCCTAATTAAGATTCCTTAATGTATAGGTGTCACAAGCCTCTGCTTTGATTACAGTCAGAAATCTCTGTCCAGTTTTGAGCATGATATTTAAAGAGAGTTGTGGGTTTAGCATGGAAAATCAAGAGAAGAGCAACATTAATGATCAGAGGTTTAGGAAACATGGCTTATGAGGAAACTTTGGCAGAACTAGGATTGTTTGGCCTAAGATGTTATCTTTTTACCTTTGCACAACCTCTCCAAGTGTTACTAAGCATGGACAGGGCACTGGCTAGCAGCAAGCTTGGCACTGCAGCACCTGGGATCCATAGGTGCTGCTGCAGAAAGCACGGTGCACCTGGGCAGCAGCCCTCAGAGGGGATTTCACAGGATTTATAACAGATATAAAGGTTATAGGGCTCAAGTCTATTCTTCACACACACACACACACAGATGTGTGTGTGACAACTTGGCTGGAAGATGAAATTGTGGGAGGTAGAATGCCGGAAGATTCAGAAATCCCGGCTGTTTTGAGATTTCCCATGTGATTTGACTGACATTGCTAGAATCATATGCTTCAACTCTCCTTTCTATGGTGAAATTGAACAAAATAGACTTTTTGTGAAGAAAACCATTTTCAGTAAATGAGTTACAGAACTCATGCACCTGCACAGCAGCCCTCAGTGTGGGTTTTGCTGCCTGTCCTCTTGCTTGGAGGGGTGGGTATGTGTCAAAACAATCTTAGCAGAAAGGAGGGCACATAGGAGGCACTAACAAGGCCTTTGAAAGGTTATGGCTATTTAATTTCTATTTTCTCATGTACAACAACTAAGTATTCTCATCTTGTTAGTATTATCTTGACAATAAATAATCTATTCTGCTCTTGTTTGGTATGATACTGTACTTATAAAACTCTTCTGCCTTCTCTGCATGCACCCATGCACACATACATCTACTATGACCTTTTTTTGTTAAAATACCCATGAGCTAAAAAGGCATTAGAGTTTGCAATTTTTCTAGCAGTTAACAACATGAGTTCAATGTCTAGACTGAGGAACCTCCATCAGTGTTGTGTATGAACCTGGACTTTCATGCTGTAAGAGTACATAAGGGCAGGAGAATAGAACACTTTCCAGCATAAAAATCAGTACCATTGTTCATGATGAGCAAGTGCTTCCATGTCTGTCTTCTTACAATTCAATGTTTATAAACCATAGCCTTCAGAGGACTTGCATGCACTTACCTGAGAGTAAAACAAACATGATTTGTAGTATTTGAGTTATGATATAAACTAAATAGTTTTGGTGACAGCTATACCATTCTTTCTCCTGTAGGAAATGGTTCAGTTGTTTTTGAAAGAAGACAATTTGAGGATATTGTCTTTCTGCACATGACCTGGACATCTGTTTCTTTTTGGAACATTTAAAAACGTCTTTTACATGCCACTAAATCACGCAGACCTGCTCTTTTCATTGATCTGTCCTACCCAAAATATATGCTGGAGTTGACAGATTATAGACTTGTATAGATCTAATATTATTTTTCAGGAGATTGAAATTAAAAAATGGTTTTTATATTCTATCCTCATATAGGACAGGCACATTGGATGAGAAAGGCTAGACCTTAGCCTGTAACTTTTGTCTGCTATAAACCACTTAGAGATCTTTGGTGGATGCATATGAGCACATCATTCTCCAGCAATTGTTGGACTGATCTGTCCTCTACTTCTACCTAAGATATAGGAAGCATTGAGAATTTGTTTAGTTTAAATCGTATAAACCTTTTCATCTGCACAGTTTGCAATACTAATCTAAAGGTCTTGTCTTGGAAATCATTGCAGTGGATGGAAATACAACTACCCCAGTAATGAAACCTGTGCAACTAATACATATATTCCAACCTTTCTCTCCAAGAGAGGTTTTTAAAAGCCTTTGCAGTATAAGGAAACCCATGACACCTATTACGAATATAAATATTTTTCCTTCTCCCTCTCTGTGCTAGAAAATCTGACACAAAGAGGTGGAATGCTGTACATATACAGCAATTACCCTGCACTCATTTATAATAAAAACTTTTCCACAGACTTTTGTTCCTTTAGCCGTTGAATGTTTCTTTCCCTGTCAGTTATCTGTGGCTGGTTTTCCCCTTTTTTCCCTCAGTGGATTTCATCTCAGCAATATTACAACTCTTTTTGAACTTCCTTCTCAGTTGAACAGGGTTTTCTTTGTTTGGTTGGGTTTTTTCCCATTGTGGCTATTGAATGTTCTGTGTTTCTTTAATTATTTTTAAGAAAGACTCATGTTTGAAAGCAAAGTCTAAAACAAGTGTAGTAAGTACATTTTTATATACTATCTTATGCCCTCTCTTGGCAGTAAAAGCCAATTCTAGATGGCTTTAGCAAGAACTATAAAAATGTAAATTACTAAGATCTGATTTGGTCTTATTGCGTTAGCTGAGTTCTAACAGCTAAACCTAGAAAATACAGCTGCTGAAGCTTATTAATACAGAGTAATTTACATATTCAGAAGGATCCTGTTGTACTCTCTTTCTCTTGGCTAATGTAAGATGAATGAGAAAAAGCTCTGGAGGACATTTAAATAAGGTTCTGAATTCAAAATTTTTGCCTTCATTTAAATTTCAGAATTCCTTTAGAATAGCATGAGCTCATGGTGTCTCATTCCCCCTTATTTATTTTTTGTAGGGGGTTAACTAGAATGAAGCATATTATTTTATTTCATCTGGGTTATAATTTTAGAAAAAATGATTATATGAAAGAATTTAGAGGGGGTTTTTGTCTTTTGAACTTTAAAGCTCAGATTAAAATGTAATAAAATTTACAAATCATATCTTTATGATGTCACAAGGGAAAGTTATGTGTATACAAAGAGTAACGTTCTGTATTTTTGCAGGACTTTTGCAAAATGATTACAGCTTATGCAGCAAAGTAGAGAAAATTACGCTTTTTTTCTATATGAACTGTTTGATATTAGATCCTGATCCAGCCAGTCACGTAAGTGTAAACTCTTCATGAGTAGCCATTAGCAAAAGGAATTTGCAAGTATACATAAATAACATTCTTTATATATATTTACCTATTGTATGTAGTAGTTGTGTTAGTAGTGATATTTTCTTCCTAAGTGGTCATTCTTTTAATTTAAGCAAGCTGCTTAAAGCCTGTCTCTTTTATTGGTAGAAATAGCTTGTTTTGTCAGTAGTAATCTGATTGATTTCAATATGGAGAAGATAGTCTCTGCAAAAAGCTCAAGATGTTAGAAAAATTTCATGGTCCAATAAACGTAAATTTGACAGATGGAACTTGCTGGCATGGGATCTTTTCAATCTTATGATTCAAAATAGATCAGACATTTGCGTAGATGGTATCTTGAGTCCAGCTACCTAGAATGGAATTGACAAATACAGTGAAATCCCATAAACTGTTTACCAGCTGTAGTCAATGATATGGTTTTGATATTCTTGGATATTTGTGGATAGCACAGGCAGAAGGCAGAACTGCATGCAGCTAATCTAACAGCACAATGAATGATTCCAGTATCAGGCTCAAAGCCTCGGCAGAGCTGCCCCATATTTTTCAGAGACACCACTTCTAAAGTCTATGGTGGTAAAGAACCCATCAGACCTCTAGGTACCCTCGAGAGGAGAGAAACAGATTGGTAGTAGACAGAATGCACTTTCATTTAAACCCTTTGATGATCTTTCCAGTATCTTCTTTAGACAAACTTAATTTTTACCGCAATAATTTTTCAGTAAACTTCAAATTAAGCGAATGACTGCAGATCTAACAAGTATCATCAAGCTGCAGGTTACAATCCAAATTCTGTGATTGTGTCTGTGGTTACTGGAATTTTTGTGGGAGGAAAGACAGTATGATTGGACTTCATCCTGAGGTAATTTGTTGCCAGTGCACAAAGATGAACAAAATTCAAGCTAAGCCATCTGTACATACATTATTAAAAAAATGAGATAGATGTGAAGTCTAGTAAAGCCATGGACATTTACATTTGCCAAGATGCACAACAGTACCTGCAAAACACAGTCAAATGACTTAGTCTAAACTTATTGACCTAATTTATCATTTCTCATAATATTAACATTGAAGAGAATTCTGGTTAATATACCCTGAAAATTTTCTAGAAAACAAAGATAATCTCTTCTAGCTTGTCACTAAAACTGCACAAACATTTCACACTTTGAAAAGAAAGGATCTACATTGAAATATTTGGCAAATGTATATAAAATCTTAATTTCTTTAAGAGGGGATAAAATAATATTTAATTATGATAAAACCAACTTCAAATAACAAAGTATTCTTTCTCTTAATTCACATTTATATCACTTAGTCATTTTATCCTGCCTCCACTACGCCATAAGGCTAGCTGTTGGCTGTTCAGAAAATTGATATAGCAGGAGCAAAAAAACAATAGTGATGGTATAAAGCATTTCTATTATATATTGCACCCCCACTCTATGGGTATGTCATATTTCTACATATCCATTAGCTGATATCAGGTAACATATATTTTGTACTGTAATTTACACCAAAGGGGTCTTTTGTAATGCCCTCAAATTTTTGTTTACAGAGAAACAAGCAATCACAGACTTTGTCAGAATCACAAAAAACCTCAGCATCCCACGAGTCACTCAGAAAACTGCATATTCCCAGCAGTAAGATGGCTGCAGGTACTTTAACCTGACTGTGTTTATTCACATAAAGAGTGAGCATCTGTGTCTCTCATTAAAAAACCCCACACTTGACACAAGAGTGTTGGGTTAGAGGAGCATTCTTTGCCACTAAAGTTTGTGGTATCTTGGTTATATCTCATTTTGACATTTTAATTAGAAACTTAGACTTAATGCTTTTCTCTTTTCTATTCTGTGATAAATGCAAGTAGTAGTTCAGTCAAGGTTTCTAAAGGAATTCAGACACTTCAAGATGCAGACAGTACTGTAGTAGGATTTACAAAAGCTCATAGACACTAATCAGGAATTTAATAGCCACGTGCTTCTGAAAATCTCACTCGGTGAATATTTGCATCTTTAGCAGCCCCAAACCCCAAAATCTGAGCTTTATAGGCTCTAGAAGAAAAATAAGGACATTTATTTAATCTTTTTCAATTCAATAAAATTGAATATCCCTTGAAAGTTTATTTATTTTGTTGTTTATATCTCTGATTCAGCTTTGCTGTTTATGCAGCAGTGCGGTGAGGATCTTCACATGCATTAAAGCAATTCAGTGCAATTCATTTTTCATAGTGGCTTTTATATCATGTAGTCTGAAAGCATAAATTTTCTGAAGGATAGACCTTATGACATTGAACAATGCATAGTAAAGAAAACATCTTATTTTGGGAATAGATAATTTGTGACATTTGGGGAGGAAAAGGTAGTTGTGGTGAGTTGACCCTGGCTAGATGCCAGCTGTCCACCAAAGCCGCTCTATCACTGCCCCTCCTCAGCTGGACAGGGGAGAGAAAATACGACAAAAGGCTCATGGGTCAAGATAAAGACAGGGAGAGATCACTCACCAATTACTGTCATGGGCAAACCAGACTCAACTTGGGGAAATTAATTTAATTTATTACCATCTGAATCAGAATAGGGTAATGAGAAATAAAAACTAAATCTTAAAACACCTTCCTTCACCCCTCCCTTCTTCCCAGGCTCAACTTCACTCCCAATTTTCTCTACCTCCTCCCCCTGAGTGGCGCAGGGGGATGGGCAATGGGGTTTGGGATCAATTCATCACATGCTGTCTCTGCCGCTCCTTCTTCTTCAGGGGGAGGACTCCTCACACTCTGCCTCTGCTCCAGCTTGGGGTCCCTCCCATGGCAGACAGTCCTCCATGAACTGCTCCAACATGAGTCCTTCCCATGGGGTGCAGTTCTTCATGAACTGCTCCAGCGTGGGTCCCCCACACGGTCACCAGCCCTGCCAGAAAACCTGCTTCAGCGTGGACTCCTCTCTCCACAGGTCTTGCCAGGAGCCTGCTCCAGCACAGGCTTCCCACAGGGTCACAGCCTCCTTTGGGCATCCACCTGCTCTGGCACGGGGTCCTCCATGGGCTGCAGGTGGAGATCTGCTTCCCCATGGGCCTCCATGGGCTTCAGGGGGAGAGCCTTCCCCACCATGGGCTGCACCAGAAGCTGCAGGGGAATCTCTGCTCTGGCACCTGGAGCACCTCCTGCCCTGCACTGACCTTGGTGTCTGCAGGGCTGCTCCTCTCACACATTCTCACTCCTTTCTCCAGCTGCTGTTGCGCAGCAGGTTTTTTTCCTTTTCTTAAATACGTTATCCCAGAGGTGCTACCACCATGGCTGATGGGCTCAGCCTTGGCCAGCAGCGGGTCCATCTTGGAGCCGGCTGGCATTGCCTCTGTTTGACACGGGGGAATCTTCTGACAGCTTCTCACAGAAGCCACCCCTATAGCTCCCCTGCTACTAAAACCTTGCCACACAAAAACAATACAGTAGTATACTGTATTTCTAGTGTAATAGAACAGTCTTTTGATGTTCCAAATACAGGGTGAAAAAAAGCAATAAAGAAACGTGTGGTAAGAATAAAATATGAAAACCATGTAATTCATTTGGTTATATGGGTACATATAACCATGAAAACAAAATCAAAGGACATTTTTCTGACCATTAATTTGACATTTCCGTGTTCTAAAAATGTGGTGTAAAAGTAGGAAAAATAAGTCTGGTGGTTGGTGGAGGTGTATTTTGCCTTTTCTTGGACAGTTAAGCAAAATTTCCTGGCAATATTAAGAGTATATCTGGTGGATATATTATCAACAAAATTACCTCAACTGGAAAATTTGGGGGGATCATATTATTAATGGGAAAATATCTTTCTGTGAAGAGATGCCTATGGATAAAGGCTGAACTGTTGGTGAATATGAAAGAGAGAAACACCTCAAGATTTAAAATAAAGTCCTGGAAAGCAGTGATGGAGTTTCAAGTCCCCTAGTACAGTCAGCGCAGTACATTCTACATTGATTATCTGATTACGGGACTATTGAATGTCATAGGAGGTTTTCTCTCAGTCTCTGCTCTTGACTTGTTCCATTCTGCATAGGATATCCACTATTCCTTTGGATCAGATTACTGTAATCAATAGAGATTTGAAAAAATCTAGCAGAGAAAGATCTTGAACTAGAAAACGTCACACCCACTACTAGTGCTCTTAATCATTTAATAGTAGGAAATTCCCTTTCTGCTTTTTACTGAAAAATAGTACTCTGGTGAGTTTTGGTTTTCAGGTTGGGGTTTTTTTTCTTTTCTATTTTTGGTAAGAGTGGTGAGAGATTTTATTAAAACTTTATTTCAATAAAACAGAAATGTTATCTTCTGAAAGCTCACATTAACAGCCCCTTAATTTCCAAAAATGTTCACCTAGTCTCAGAAAACAATGGCTATGAGGAGGCATTTCGTTTATTATTAAATCTGGGTGTTCTGCAGTCTCTGACATTTTGTGTAATGTGAAATTGTGCTTTCAAGGTTTCAAAAGCTGGAACGTCTAAAGTCCAATAGGAATAAATTCCCTTCTCTTTGCTACTTTGTTTCTACCTCAGATGAGAATTTCTGAGTGTTCTTTCTTCTCCTAAAATCAGAGAGAGGAAAGAAGAGAAATGGAAACACACTCCTCTTCAGACATATGGGGAAACCCAGTACAAGTATCCCAAAGTAAAAAGTTTGCCTGGCTCCATCTATTACAAGACTCTTCAGGTACTCAAGAAAAGGAAATTAATGGTATCTTTATTTCTTACAAGCAGACTTGTCTATCCTTAAAATAAAAGAGAAAAGCTGTCAAAATGCTACCTTCTCAAGGAGAATTCTGACCACCTAGTTCCTGAGATTCACAGATGTCAGGCTGTATTTATTTGCTTTTCAAAACTATTAAAGAAATCATTGCTCCAGACTGACTGGCTGCTGAGAAGGCTTTAGCAATGAAATAAAACTTGTTAATTGCAGCTGAAACCTGAAACAGATGCAGTGTGGCTTCTAAATTTTGCTAAGCCTATCTAGGCCTGTATTTAACATGTGGGATTCAATCAGTACTTTGTGTTCACAGCCTGCTATACTATCTATCTTCCACATATCCCAGTGTACATTTGAGATCCAAAATAGCTGGCCAGAAAAAAACAGCTGGAGAGAACTGCCACAAAACAGGCACTCTGATAACACACATCTTAAAGTTTGATGGGATGATACTGTCCCCACTGATTGCAGGTGTGCATTATTACAGATATAAGGAAAAACTGCAAGAGTAACCCAAAAGTGGAGTAGTTTGCCCAGAGAGCAGGTTGTGCAGCCTCCATCCTTGGAGGTTTCCAAGACCCAACTGGACAAAGCCCTGAGTAGCCATGCCTGACCCTACAGTTGTCCCTGCTTTGAGAAGGGTTGTACTGGAGACCTCCTGAGGTCCCTCTCAGCCTGAATTATCCGATGACCTCATGAGCATCAAGTCTATTTGCACTGTGTGGTGGTGCAAATTTCTGCATTGGTGCTGGGTTCCCAGCATTTTGGTCTTGTTGCACAGACACCCACATACAGACTGCTTAAAATAATTATAATTCATAGGATTTTGAATGGGGCAATGCTCAGTGCCTTAAATCAGTCAACTGCCTCATCTATGCAGAGACTAGCTGGGGAATTACCAACGCACAGTGTGCGTATGTGCAGTGCCACAAACCCTTAAAAACTGGCTGCACTACAGTTGTAATTTAAAAAAAAAAAACAACTTGGCTTTCGTTCTTATATCACAATTTTAAATTTCATGTAAGTTGCCACAGTCTTGCAAAGAATGCATCTTTTATATTCAGGTAGCTAGGACACATACCTTAGTAATATATCTTAGAGCTTTCAGGAGAGATCATTGCTGTATGATACATTTAGGCTTTAAAGTATCAGCTTTGAAAAGCAAGATGATTTTTTTGCAGAATGCAACAGTTAACTTCCTCTGTAGCACAGGGACAAAGAGCACTTACTTCACTCTTTCTATAAGGAATGCTGCATCCATCATTAACAGTTTTCATCTGGGAAACCCTTTTTCACTCTGCCCACTGAGAAGAGAGTTCTTTGCAGATTTTTTAATATTTTCATCCATATATAACAAATCCAAAATATTATATATTCAAAATAATTTTGTGATATTTAGCAGAAAAAATATATATATCAAGATGATTAGTTTTATATTTGTGACAAGGAGATAAGCCTCTCAGGCTTGTTCAGCAAAAAACACAGTTTTGTTTCTCTACATGTCCGCTCTCAGAACTGTGAGAACAGACTATGGCGTAGATTGTGTTTAACCTGACTGGCATGAAGAATGCTGCAGTTAGGAAAATTAATTTTTAGATCACCATGTAATACACGTTTTTATATAAGGAAGATTAAAGCATCTCTTCCTTTCTAATTTCTAAATTATATGGATAAAACTCTGTCTTTGATACAACCTGTTGGATAGCTATCTTCTTCGGGATTATGGATTCTCAAGGTACCAGATGTAGCCAAATACAGGCTAATCAAATACATTATTAAGCTTAGGTTGTCCCTCTAAATAGCTGAATACAGGGTGTGTAGGTTATTGTAGAAAATTTTGTATGCTTACACAGTAATAGCAGTTGATTGATACTCTTCACTACTAACATTGCATCAAAACCAAATCCTAACAACCATTTTAGTCACGGCCCTTTATATTACTAAAATAAGATAATTAATAGATTTTGGAAATCTTTCATAATTACACATGTGAACATCTTCTTATTTTAAATTTCCAAGTAATTTAAGCCATAATGTTTTTTTCTGAATTATTTCCATTGCTATGTACTTTATAGCTTATTTAATACAACATACTCTATTGATTAATATTACACCTACATTACTCATATTAGAATATCACTCTCACACTGGATAGATTTATTCGTCAATCTTTATATATATGTGTGTGCGAGCCATTCACCCTTGACTCTTATTATAGCAGTGGAGAGAAGTCAGCACTTTCAGGGTGCCAGCAATCTTGATCCATTTTCAATGACTGCTTTAGTATGAGATAAATTACATCCAAAAAGTATTCATTTGTCTGGTTGATTTTAAGCATGCAAAAGGTGACTGGCTCAGATGTTGATGTTCTCACTGTAAATGTTGATATTTGATTAGTTGTATCACCCCAAGCCCCAAATGTACATATATAAATCATTTCCAGCAATCAGGAAGTATACTTGCAGTCCAGGTATATCTGCTTGTCATTCAAAGTAAAAGGAGAATAAATTACTGATAAATAACACAATTAAATAAATAAAACTCCTGCTAATTATCAAATAATGTTCAATCAAATATTTTTGTCCCGTAGTATAGCATGCAAGTATTTTAACTATGAAATTAATGTAATGCTAAAAGAGTTTATTATTTCCTTCCAGTAGAGGGAGCTTAGGAATGTACAGGACATCTACACTCTCCAGCTTTATGT